TTTATACTGATGATGCACTTTCATTTTAAATATGGAAGCATATTGGAACTTTATTATCAATCTCAGTGAAATCCTTAATTAAAAAGTCAGATGGCTGCCTGCCTTGTTGTAAAACCAGAGGAGCCAACACTAATTTATGTACACTGTCAAACAGGCATAATTATGCTGCTGGTAGACTTGCAGATGGTTAGCAGCAAGAGCACAAAAACAAGGGTCAAAACATAACCACAGGTCACATCTTTCTAGCCAAATGTTCACCAGTCAGCTCTTCTATACACATATTTCCTATGAAGTTTCTGAGGAGGAAGGTGTTTATTGTTTAGAGCTGTGGGGTTTTTAAATGCTTCTGTTTATATGATACATGCTATAACTTCTGAGATCTTTTTTTGCCCAGACATTCAGGCTGTACTACATGAGGGTTGTATTTCCAGGAACAGAAGTAAAACCCCCAGTGTGGACCTGGTTCTTATGATTTTCCTATGCATCATGCTAGAAAAGCTGTTGTCAAATATCAGAAAAGTGATTTATAAGTTGAACCACCTCCATATAGTGCCCTGTAGGGGAAAACTGACACTTTGTGCAGATCTGAACTCATCCAAGAGCAAACTATTATGCTGAAACCTAGGCAAAGCAGAGGGCTGGTTCTGTGCTATCCCATCTCCTTAAGGGAATGGGCTTTGACTCCTGATCCCTGGCCAATTCCCACCACATCAGGGCTTCTCTATGAAGAGCTGTGGAGTTTCTTTAAATGGATCTGTGGCTCACATTTCTGTGCTCTGTGTAAAGGAATGGTTGCTGTTTTTTGTAGGGTTTGTAAGGCAGAAGAACCTATGCCCAGTCTGTCTAACATGATTTCCTTGTTTCCCTGCTCTTTCTAATGTCTGTTTTATAATTAGCTCAGATAACCCATGGTGATTGTGAAACCAACACAGTAAACAGTCTCCAGAACTGATGTACTCTATGGCGCTCACAGTGTTTTGACTGTGACATGTTTGATGAAGGAACAATTTGTACAAAACCTGCCTCAGAGAGATCCCACCTGATTATTAGATAGCTCCAGTGCACAACAGTGCAACCAAGAGCAGCACTTCTGGCACTAATAATATCTTTTATAATTTCTGCTTTTTAAAAAGTAAAACATGAACTGTCACTCTGAGTAAGCTGTGTTTTCTAAATTGTCATATCTTTTGTCCCTGTTAATTCATATGCTGTTTTCTTAGATTTCAGCTTCATTGAGCTTTCACTCTGCCTGGGTGTATCAGAGGTGGAAGGAGAAAATTGGTTCTGTCAGTATTGCTCAGGTGCTGCAAATGAGAACAATAAACTTCAGCATGCTACAGATGACTCTGCAACAGAAGAAACACATTTATTCACAAATAATTTGCAATTAAACTTTGAATAGGCGATGCCCAGTGACAGCACCAGAGACAGTGGGCACAGGCTGGGCACAGGAGATCCCTCTGAACATCAGGAAACATTTTTTTTACTGTGAGGGTGACCAGGTGCCTGCACAGGTCACCCAGGGAGGCTGTGAATTCTCCCTCCCTGCAGATATTGTAAAGCCATCTGTATGTGGTCCTGGACAACATACTCCAGTTTAAACAGGGAAGTTGGACCAGATGACCATCACAGGCTCTTCCAACCCTGAACATCCTGTGAGGCTGTGATTTGATTTAGGTTGGGTAAAGTCACTCAGCCCAGCACTGACAGCAAACACCTGGTCTTTAGCAACTGCTCAGAAAAACACTAATGCTCAGGCTCCCTACATCTTTCTTTCATATACATTAATCAGTAAAAAATGTATTTGCTTCCAGTTCCCCTTTATGGGAATTATCATGTGAAATATGCAGTGGGAAAGCATATTTTGCATGTCCAGTACTGTTATTCATATATAATATACTCTTATTGAGTATATTCAGAAATCTAAGACTAAAAGACTTTTTGGTAGTTTTGAACCAAGTTTGCTATTTTATTGCACATTGTTCTGCACAACAACTGTAACTGGAAGGGCAAGATAGCTTTATCCTGTCATAGTGTAACAGATTCCCTTCTCCTGTTGCTTTTTTTGACCAAGATGAATCAATTTAGAGCGAACTGGACACTTTCTGTTTTGTGCATCAACAAAATCTCATTTTGATGGCAAATCTAAAACTTACATCCCATCCCAATTTTAGAACAAGAGGAAGATTTTGTGGTAAATCCAAGAGCATTTCTGAAGTGTTACACATCTTTCCTCTCAGTACTGCTAGAATTTGTCATTAACCCCATCCATCTCCTGTCTACTGGATGATGAGTAAATCCATCAACTGCATGCTGCTAAAATTCCTCCAGTCATTCTAGTTAGAGGTGAAATATCACAACACACACTCAGTGCTTTCTGAAATTTTAATCTGCTTAACCCAATTACATAGTAAGAGATAATGCTGTATGTACAACTGCTGAGTCTGCAGGGGTAGAATGCAGCAAGTGGCAAATCAAAAAGCAGCATTTTTTTGTCTCCTCTAAGTATGAGAATTGTGCTCCAGATGCACAATGGCTTTGATCAGCTGCCATGTCCTTAACTGTGGGGGACAATGCTGGAGTTTCCTTCCTCAGTCTTCCTTTCTCTGGTGGGGGCTCTGACTGCCTTTCATTCCTTTTGTTTTCTTCCAATTTTCAGTATACAGGGGATACTGTATATATTTTATCTGTGTTGTGTGATTTTTTATCTGGCTGTGTTGTGTGATTTTTTATCTGACATGATTTTTTATCATGTCCTTTGTCCTCTTTTGTCTTTTCTCAAAATTGCATTACAGTAATCAGAAATTTTGTGTTTATGCTCTTGAGGTGTCATCGTGTGCTTGTGCACTTTGTCCCTCTGTGATCAACCTCTGCTTGAAACAACTCTTTCTTCAGTGGCTCCAAGCACGTTTTGGTACCTGCTATTAATTTTCCTATGAGGTGCAATTGTAGCTCCATACATTTTTTTCCCCCAAAATCAGAGCAAAATCTATTCACAATGAAACCAGATGAAAAAGAGAACTGAGTTGTAATGGGGAAAGATACAATCATATTATCCTTTGGTTTGACATTAGAGATTATTTTTTAGAGCTCTCTTTAGGAAAAAATAAAATAACCATACGTGACCAGGCTGCATGAATGCCTCTGTTTTCCACAACTGTGTGAAACTCTTGAAAGGTTCATCCATATTGGCTGAAGGTTTCAAAGGTTGGTTGTCCCTACAAGATTTATAGAAATAAGCAGTGAAGAAAAAGAGGAAATCCTGTAAAAGATTCACTTAGAAGCATCAGGAAATCCTCACAGCTATCAATAAAATTAATAAAATTACAGGAAATTAAAAAAATTTGGATCTGCTGCCAAAATTTACTGATTTTTCTCTTCACAAAAGTGGTGGAGCCTTTTATCTTCATCTATCCCAAGGTCAGCAAAACTCATACTCCTGAAACAAAAGGAAGTAGGCATGAAAGGAATAAAAACATAAATTGTCCATCTGATTGGTAAAAATTACCTGTTGCCTGTTTTCCCATTTGGGCTGCACTGTTTTTTGAAACAGCACCAACTTTTAGGACTCCCAGGCTCTCCCTGGGCTGCAAGGGGGTCTCTGTTCCACAGGGATTTCTCTGGGGCCACCAGGGAAATCCCTTTCTGAGCCCGCAGCCCTTCTGCCCTCCTCCTCCTCCAGCTCCCCTTGGGGTCCCTCCTCAGCTCCTCCTCCTGTACCGCTGTCACCTTTGGCCCTCCCTGGAACCTGTTTGTCCCCAGGATCCTGCAGCCCCACTGCCACCCCCAGGGCAGGGACACCCTGTGCCACCTCAAATACAGAACCTTGATGTGCAATCTGGAAATGATCCATGCTCACCCTATGGGCATATTACTACTCAGTGAGATCAAGAGATAAAATTCAATATGTCTTGTCCATATTAGCCAGCAAAGTTAGGCATTTCTAGTGAATCGGGCATATTGCAAAAGCAGTTGATGTTTTTATACTCCATTAACCAGAGCAGAGCTGATTAAATATGTTCCAGGGCTCAGAAGCTTGTATCGTTGAAGAATTTATTCTGGGGTTGGAAAAGTTGAGTCAGTGCAAAAGAAAAATCCAAGATGATATGATGTCCATCAGATAATGCCCAAATTCAACTTTGGCTTATGTCTTTGAGATATATAAATTTTCTTTTCAGCTTTTAGTATATCCAGCATTAGTGTGAAACTTCATTTTTTACCCTATATCCATTTCAAATTGCAACCGAAGAAAATGCATCGGTTCAAGCCATCAGCCTAAGCTGATGGATATTTTCTGCTTCTCTTCAGTGCACTTTAAGACAGACTATTTATCTTTATCTTACATTAAACATCTGTGAAGAACTATAAAACACTTTAGAGTGGCTAAAAATTCCCAGAATTCAATGGGAATATTTTCATTCAAACTGTGGAGGTTTTTGCACGATGTTTTTCACAATTAGGGACACAGCACTTCCAAAGGCTGTGTTATCAATGTGACTGTGCTGAGGATACTGTGGGCACTATCTGAGCTTAAACAGTGTTCAGTTATACTGCAACTCATTAATCTTCTATCTTGAGGATGAAAACAAGTTTTAACCAGAAAATATTGTTTGATTCTTCCTGACCTTGCTTGCTCTTGACTAAAAGCAAAAGCTGATTTTAATCTGAAGTGTTTTTTCTTGCAAATGAAGTCTTCCATTATAAACAATTACAAATGCATAAGCAAGGTAATGTAGGTCGCTCAACTTACTTTTTTTCTTGAAGTTTCTCTTTATTTTTTCCCAAAATCTTCAAGAAGTGGGATTATTAGGAAAGCTCCAGAATCCAGGAGCTGTGCATTATGCTGAAGATTGAGTCATGAATGGTAGATTACAGCAATATCTCTCACTCCAACCATACCCTTTTCTTCTACTGTTGTCTGTTATGAAAATGAAAACACTGAAGGAGTACACAGAGATTTTTCCCATCTTAGTTTAATGAGAAAAATGATAACTCTTGATACAAGTGCTTTATTCCTTCCTTTTCTCTTTTTCTACAGTATTGGGTCATCTCTCAACACAGACAGTAAATTGCTTGAAGAAATGACAATCTCTGATATAAGGCCCCAATTCTAATTTCAGAGCTACTAAGTAAACAATCTAGAAAAAACAATTTATATAGCAATATACTAACAGAAAACTAACTAACAGAAAACACCAGCATAAAATGTTACTGAAATGTAATGTTATTCCCAACTTCTGCTCTATTTTATTTATACATGGGGTCATGAATTCAACACAAGCATTCACATTACTTATAGAGGGGATATTTTACAATGTTTCAAATTAAGGGAGGAACATCTTCATTATTTTCAAAATCATAGGAGCTCTTAGCCTCAGTAACCTTCTGTGGTTGGAGCTTTATAGGTCCCTGTCCAGTTCGTTCCTTTTCTTGGACTATCTTTGTCACATCAGGGAATGAATATTTACTAGGATCCACTTCCAACTTCTCAACTTGTCCACTCCTGAGACAAGAGGGAAATAAATGGAAAAAACATAATTTGAGTGTCAAATATAGGAGAACTGTTTGAATTTATTATGTGATTCTATGGTGCTATTTTGGGTGCCTGCCTATAAACACATGGTATGAGGGTTGTTACTGAGTCCAATTAAACCAGGGTTAAGAGTTCTTCTAACTTGAGAATTAATTGCTAAATAAAAACCCTAAGTGCAAACACATGAAAGTAATACAAAATCTCTAAGATTTTGTACAGAAGAATCTCTAGTCTCCAACTTCAAAAGTTAATTTTAGATAGCTGTAATTCCCTTTATATCAGAACATGGTGACTGCTGGTATCACAGTACAAATCGCTGGCTTTTGATGTAAGATTTTTTAAAATCCAACTGGTTTTTTTATTCTTTTTTTTTTTTCTGTTCCTTTTTGCACAGTTCCTTCCCACTTACTGTCTATTAATTTCCAGGTGACAGGTCCATCTTTGGAAAACAGAAATACTTGCATTTATAGAGAAAATACAATTTTAGGAACTTATCTGCCTTGATCAGCTAATTTTTGTATTTTGGCAACATGACTCCTCACCATGTTTTTATTATTAAAAAATAAATTAAATTATAAGAAAAGTCAGAGTTTTAACACAATTTTCATATTCGATTCCTATTAAGGATACTCTTTCAGATGACACTTAGAAATGTGTACTGGCCACTCATTAAGGCAACCTATCCACATCACAAGATGATCAAAGATTTGAAACATATTCTCAGTCTTGCAGCATTTAATCTCACTGTTTATTTCTAAGAGAGGAGCTCAGTCATTAAATGGAAAAAATCTAACCTGCTTTCATGCAATTTGTAACTGTTTACATGAAAAAATGGCAAAATGGAAATTTAATTGTACAATTATGCTTAATTTCTTCAAATTAGAACATGATTTGTACATCTTTGTACTCCATTTTATACTGAATCACAGCTCCCAGCTCAGCATTAGAAAAGACAGTGCCTCATCCTTCAGAGATGTGAGAAAATTGTTTACCCAGGAGATCAGAAAGGCTCCTTAGAAATAGAACAAACAAGGGGGAGGCAAAGTCACTGCGTGACAGAATGCATTTTATGGATGACAACACAGAAAATGAAAATTCGAATATAAAGCACAGTAAAAGATTTTAAACTGAAAATACACCATCTTTAGTTGTTAAAACAGGGAGAGTTTTGCAGGGCAGCTTCCAGATTGTGCCAGTGCTTCTCCATCAAGGCTGTGGGAGATGTGAGCAGACATCCCAGCCCTCACTAGGGCAGGGTCTCTGTCCCACTGTCCCACTGAAGCAGAGATGCAGAGGGGCTCACGGGAGGGCTCCTCCTCCTCTGTGCCATGCTGAGGAAAGCAGGAGCTCCACAAGAGGCAGTCACCAGCCCAACCATCTCCTTCAGCTCTATGCCACTAGGTTTTTCTTGTACTAAAAGAATAATTTGATCACTTTTTCTGAGCAGAAAACAGCCAGAGAAGCTAGATGCTTTAATAACCTGCATAAATCTTTTCCAAATAGCAGCATAAGCAAAAATTACTCCAAGTAGAATTTTATGGGTAATGAAAACAAATACAAGAAAAGTTTTATTTCTTTACCCTAAAAATTCTTCAATTTAAAAAGCTAGATTTTTTTTTCTGATATTGCACTATACTATTAAATGAAACAAAAAAGTGTTCATTTGTGGCAACATGCTGAAAAATGTTCATCTTCCCAAAAGTAAAGGGCATTTTAGTTTCCTGTGTAATTTACAAAATGTGCTGTGACCTGGAATCACTTTATCATTAGCTGTTGGTGAGATCACAAAGAGAGCAGACCCTTAAACTAATCATTTTCCACTAATCTGAGGCACCTCAGAAAAAGCTAAAAAGCATAAACATGAGAATAAATTAGGCTCAGCTTGTGCCTCCATCACATGCTAGAAAAGAACTTCCTTAAATTGAAGTATTTCAATTAGCAGTGGTAGCTCACATTTGTTCAACAACTCTAAAATTGTACAAATTGTCATTCATGAAAACACAATAATGGAGTTTGAATATCTTATTGCTTAGTAGCAGAATAAACTTCAGCATTCCAGAATTGAATTCACAGTGAGTGTCATAAGTAACAATCCACATCAATAAGCTATGACAAGGTGGCATCAGCCATTCTCAAAATTGCAGCAACACATGTAATCTTAAAGTATGTCAGCAACAGGTAAGACTGAGAATCAAGAACAGTGAATTTTTCCAGAAAGGAGGTGGTTTTCATGTACTTACATGAACATGATCAAACACTCTATACGTGTTTAGTAAAGCTCTCCAGTGCTATCCCAGCTACCACAATACAACAATTGGCTGACAGCAAGACTCTGCCAGGCTGAAACCAGTGCAGCTACAGCACAGATCTGCTGCTCTCATCATGCAATCATGCAAAAGAGGCTGGGGATTGAGGAGGTCAAGGGTAACCACCTGAACATTTTTTGAAGAACAAGTTTTTCCATGTAATTAACAGAATAAAAATAATCTTGTTGCTGAAGCTCTTCCATGAGCAATGGTAAAACAGCTGTTATGGAAACAAAAATACTCCTTGAAGGACCAGCTAGAGAACATACCTGAAAATCTCAGTGTTTTCAAACTATTTCAATTTCAGGTCTAAAAATAGATGAAGTTCACAGTTTTTGGCACTGCTACCTGCTGCTGAGTGTTCTCTACCTAAAAAATTATGTTCAAACACTAGAGCTCCACACAAAAATAAATTAAATCCTTTATTTCCTCCTGATATTTTTTCCCTTTGAAAGGCTACTTCTACCTCCATACAGTTTGATTAGGCTTTTAATAAATTAAAATTAGAAGACTCCACAAAAAAGAAAGTTTTGCATCTATAGCAGCCTGCTGAACAATCTGGTGTGTGACATACGGCATATCTGATAATTTGGTATTTCTTGATAATTTACACTTTTATTTACACAGTCTTTAATCCCCATACTTGATATTTAAATTACTTGACAGTTATATTTCCCTGTGTCAACTTCTGAATTTCAATAAAATTTAGATTGCTAGAGATTTCTCATATCTTTGATCCAGAATATATGGTTAGTGACATGTGACTGAAAGTTTCCTTTCTGGTATCAGGACATAAATATAAAGATATTTAGGAGTCACAACCAACTGCTTTGAAGAGGCACTTTTTCAAATCTTTTAACACTGTGAATGAAACAGGACAAAAAATCATTATCATCCTAGACAAAGTACAAATAAATGCTTTTCTTGAATAAAAAAATAGAGTGATTCCAGTATATGGAATGACATCTTATTTGAGAGCTTAGAGAAAGACAATTCTTTATTTAGGTGTGTTAAAAACTGATGGTGAACATAGGACACTTGTCATACTCTGCTCTTAATTTTTGAAATTATAAGCTTAGAAAAAATCTACTAGGTAATCAAAGCAAATAATTATAGTTTTTTAAGTAACTGAAAAATCAATTCCTCTTTCATTGTTTAAGAGACCTTTTAAATCTCTGTATATGTGTGTAATCTGAAATGAAGCTGTCACTGGAGCCTTCAGAATCAGTGAGAAGACATGAATACTGGTAGAATCAAATGCATTTCTCAGGGACAAAACAACAGTGAAGAATAACTAATAAAACAGTGGTAAATGTTCTGATAAAGAAAAGGCTGATGATATCTAGACCATTCTGTTCTAAAAGACAAATATATTTCATGAATAGGATTCATCAGACTGAGAATATCGTTTACCCAGAATATTGTTTACATATGAGAATATGTATATTACTAATGTCCATGTTTTTGAAAGTTAGACAGAAAATTATAGCCGTTGTGACATTTTCAACTTTACTGTTCCATCCCTTTCCTTCTTTTGAATAATCACTTCAAGATATTAAATTTTAAACTGCTCTTGTCTGCAAGCAAGAAAAATGCTCCAATAGCTGCAATATGCAAATTGACTCTGAATTTCTATATGTGACTATAATATCATTTTATTTTCTCTCCTTTCATTGTTATATTTGTCAGACAAACTTGAAATCCTTAAACATTTGGGAAACATATACTGAAATCACACTTTATCCATCTCTGTCCTCAGACTTTTGTCCTTGTCCAATCTGCACAACCAAAGATAACTTCAGAGTGCAGTGATCAGGAACTAACAGAAGTGTTCTCTCGAGAATGCTCCCTCCAGAAGGGCACATTTCTGAAGCCTTCTCACCTTTATTATAGTTAAGGATTGTCAGATGCCAGTGTGCAAATTATTTTTCAAATCACTTTTGAGGAACCCCACCTTTTGTTCTCCTAATTAGTCAAATGATAGAGATGTACACCCTCTACTTTGATTAGCTCCAGGCCTCTATGAGAATGCAAATGACTCCATCCTTCGAGATTAATTTGAGTAAAAAACATTTTAACATGTTGCTTAGTCATATCTGACTACAGTTTCTGGTTAAGAAGCCAAATGAATTACAGTTCCTATGATTCCTCTTTCTCATACAATATTACTTGCATTCTAAAAGTTCTCAATGTCTTCACGACAGATAGCAAATTTCATTACCTGAAAATATTAATTCTGCAAACTGTTCTGCTCTCAAGATTTGTGATCTAATCCCAGATATTTATCAAAGGCATTATATCTCAATAGAACTGATAATTGACTTGCCATTTGTGATCTTTGTACACATTTACTTATCTGTCATTCAGGCCACTCTTGAGATGCACTTGTCTTTCTTCACATTGAAATGTTTGTGTTTGATATAGACACTGAGAATTTGGGTTCTGAAAGATCCCATAAGTCCTCTTGCAGCTCTTTCACATCAGTTTGCAACACCAATCAGTTTCTGACCTCATCTTACCTCCCTTCCCAATCCTGAGGAAATGACTAATTTTGTTCTACTGTATTTCTCTTCACAACACAGAGTTCTCTCCCTTCCAACCCATCCCATCCCTCTGTGTAAGCTGTAGGAATTTAAGACTGGGAGAGATTTTCAGCCATTTATT